GGGTGGGTGTGTGGGTGTGTGGGTGTGGGTGTGTGTGTGTCTCTGTCTGTGTGTCTCTGTCTGTGTGTATGTGTGTGTGTGCCTGTATGTGCGCACATCCATAGATAGATAGATAGATAGATGGATAGATAGACAGATAGATAGATAGACGGAGAGAGAGAGAGAGAGAGAGAGAGAGAGAGAGAGAGAGAGGGAGAGGGGGAGACAGAGAGAGAGAGAGGTGACTTACCTTTGGTGGAAGCAGCTGCAAAGTGCGGGGCGAAGGATGCTCTCGGCCGTCACACGTCGAGACCGCACGCCTCTCTCTCTCTCTCTCTCTCTCTCTCTCTCTCTCTCTCTCTCTCACACACACACACACACACACTCTCTCTCTCTCTCTCTCCCCTGATGGGTCGCCCAGTCCGACGAAACAGTCACAGCCACCACTTTCTTTGTGCAGTTGTGCGAACACGAAATACACAGTGGTGGCTATGGATCTTGGGTCGCTGTGCGACCCGTCTTTCAGTGTAGGCAGGCCAAGCGACCCACATCGCCCTGCCTGGCCTTATTTCAACGTCCAAAAGTCGTGCTACCGCGAGGGCCCCACTTGAACGTACTCTCCGTGTTTGTAGGACCTCGCCCCTGGGGTACTACCCAACAAGCCAGGCGGAAGGCAGACGAGACAGCCAGACAAGGCAAATGAATGTGGGGTACTACCGAACAAGCCAGGCGGAAGGCAGGCGAGACAGCGAGACAAGGCACATTAAATGAATGAATGGTACCCCGTCTATCCAAAAAACCGTTACCAAGGTAGCCCATGTGGGGGAACGGAATACAATTTATTCTGAAATCCAACGGAATGCAATTTATACTGAATTTTGGATTTCGGGTTGAAAAGATAGAATGGTACGACCCTGAGCTGTCTACTGTGACCAGACAGAGTGAGTGGTCTGGTCACACGGTCTGGTCACACCGACAAGCAGAAGGTGAAGGATGTGGAGGGGGTGTGATTTTGTGAAGAGGGCTCCATTTGGACCCCAACCCTGATCCTGTTTGAGGGGATCTGCAGCTAGGTTAGGAGTCTGATCATATCAGCACCCCTAGTAGCCGCTCGGGCTGTTTTTCTTTATATATATATATAAAACAAAAAAAAAAGGAGTTATCATTTTGTATTTATTTATTTATTTAGAAGGCTTGCAATAGGAGTGGAACCCGTTTACACAGAAGTTTAGGTTAGCCTACCCGTAGTAGGTTTTCTGGTCTTGTATTGTATCTCAGGTTTGTGAGGCTTTGTAGCCCATGTGGGTTGATTGTCACTAGAGGAAGGGCTCAGAATAGCTGGGCCACGGCGACCAATCACCCCACATGGGCTACAAAGCCTTCAAAAGGGCTAGGTGATAAAGAAGGGCTCAGAATAGCTGGGCCAGGGGGACCAATTTTAGGTTTGTTGGGCTTTTCTGTCCGTGTGGAGTTTCTCATATTTGGAGGGTTACGGTTTGTGAGGCTTTTTTTTTTTTTAAAGGCTAATTCTTTAAGTCCAACCAATTCAATTACCTGTTATGTTTCTGCAATGCAGATACTCAACGAGTTGACCATTCAGACATCATACATGACCACAGATTTGACTCTGAGAGAAAGAGAAGAAAGGAGAGAGAGAGAGAGAGAGAGAGAGAGACACAGGTATACAATCTGAAAACCCGAACGCGACTTCCGCGTATTGATAATCTTGAAAAAAAGCGGAATCGGACAAAGTCCGAACTGCATGCCCGACCGGTTTCGGCTGGTCGCCACCAGCCGTCGTCAGGGGCTTTGGTCGCACGGTCAGTTCTAGTCCAGTCCGTATTTAACCTGTGTGGGGAAGAAAAATGATGTTCTAGACATATGTTGTCGTCAGTTTCCTGGTATAGAAGAAAGTCTAGATACAGTGTTTCTTCTAGATAGCTTAAAAAAAAAAAAAAAAAAAAAAAAAACTTCCGTTCAGTCTACCGGGTCCTTAATCTGTCAATCATTTTAAAGGTACCGATTCGAATCCTCAAGAGACACTACACAGGTCACCAAAATCGTTCACATGTTTGTTGTACCAGCTACGTCGGTTCGAGTCCCTGTCAAAAATTCATGATCCCATACTACACTAACCAATCCGAGTACACAACAAAAACTTCCCACCCTTCAAATCACCATTGGTCCCACGCTATGTCCATTTTCATCCACTCAACGTCAATATAGAAAACCTTATTATTAGTAACGACCGAAGTCCCTGTAACAGGCCCTAAAACCGGTCCACAAACTATGTCGAAAAAAACTTCTGCCAACCGGTCAAGACAGGGATCCATTCAGACCATACACCTGCATGCTTGCCCGAGAAATTGATGAGTGCAGAGTCAAAATAGTCATCGGGATAAGACCTCTTCCAAAGTTCAATTTTTAACGTAAGAAAAAAGGGAAATTTCGTACCGGGGACATACGTGAATACCTTAGCCCGATGAAGAAAGGATCCTATAACTGCTAATTTCTGTTGTCGTGATGAGGACAAAAAATCTTGAATACTCTAATATATCGGTGTATCACCTGTCAAGCGTTGATTCTTGTGCGTAGCCAAACATATGACACCAACTGAATCATTTAAAATCTTCAAGACACATCTGAGGAAATCCCAACTGTGTCCTTAACTTGTTTGTTCCAACGTCAGATTCTTATCATAACATTCCATAAACCTCCTCAGAATACCACGACCTTGCGCCAAAGAGAGGGGACAATCCTTCTTGCAAATGGCGAAGACGGAGACATTATCCATTAGTCGAAAACCGTAGAAGCGGCCAGCATCATTCCCCAGGGAGTTCCTAAATTCATATTCATTGAATGCACACAGCAGACATGGCAAGGCGGGACTTGAGGCTTTCCCCATAGGTATTCCCACACCCTGTTTAAGAATACTACCCCCAACATTGACAAAACAATGAGATAATTCAAAGCTAATAAACTTAATAATCAATTCGAAAGAAAGAAAGAGTCATCCTTCATCATTTTTACCTTAAACAAGTCGAGCATCTTTACCCCTAGTTTTTACACTGACTCAACGGAATCCTTCTCCAATGCCGAAATCAGTCACCCATCTTAAGGCTTCCAGAATAGCATGGTGCGGAAGATTCGAGAACATTTCTTTGATGTCAAAGCAGGAGTCAATCACCATCTCGTTTTTCCCAACTCGTTGGTTCAGTGTTTCAATTCCCTTCATAAGATTTTGCGTAGTTCGGAGATTCAAATTTGATTCCACCGGCAACTTCCATAACAGCAGATTCACACATCGTGACACCCGTCTTCCCCCTTGCGCTCCACCCTCAGAGAAAGTTGGACATATCGGCCTCCACCTTTCTACATCTTTATGTTTCGGTAGGCAGTAAGCTTCCCCGATTGAGCCCTCCGTCCTCCATTTTCCAACTCGATCTAATCCATTCTGCTTGTAGTCGTGTTTACAATTACCAAGCACCTCTACTTCCTCCTTATTGCTATATGAAAAGGCTGGGTTTCGTAGAAACAGCTTATTTAGGCCAGCGAGATAAAGTGTCGGACAACATACGTAGGTGTCGCCCAATTTGTGGTCAATTGGACTGTATGTCAGGTTATCCAGAAGAGAGATTTCATTCGTAACTTCTTGAGATGAGTGTATCTGCAGGAGACTGTGCGAAGAAACCAGAGTAGAATAAAAGATTGAAGAAAACTCCTCAGGTAAGATAGAAAGCGGTTCAGTAGAAAAGTTATCAAAAAATTCCCCAAAAGATTTCAGAATTTGTTTACAAAGGTCATGAGAAGAGGTGCTAAAGTCCGGACGAATAATATTCTTGGAATTACGCATAATCTCAGGGAATAGACTAGACTGTCCAATGCGAAACGAAACATGCCCATTAAGACGATCAAATTCACTGGGAGCAGAAGAGCAATTGCATACGCAAAACTGGGCTGATTTACAATATTGGACTCGTTGGACGTCGAGCAGCACGACTCATCGGGGTACTGGTAGGAGGCGCCTGTCTAGCATGAGTGTTACGGTGTCACGCAAAATTTTTTATGATTTTTTTGCAGTAAATAAATAAATTAATACAAATCCCTTCCTATTGCATGCGTCCGGCTTCGAGCGACACCCTTCAATTACGGTCTACGCTGGTCCCCGATCTTAGGAATCTTCTATTGTAATTTCGAACAGTAAATATGATTATGCAAGTAATAAATTAAAATAAAGTGTATAGCACATCATGATTGCCAAATTCAAAGAGGTTGATAACTATATCAAGATCAGCAGAGAGCAACATCAAGCAATGCCGATGAAAACGAATCAAGATTGACTGACTTAAGGCAAATACAAGATGAATGAGGGGAGGTGATAAACTCATAATAATCTTAGAAAATACAGATGAAAAGACATGGCCAACACTTGTAAAGAGTCCTCCCTCTCCCTCTCAGGTTTCATCCTCAATCTCTCATTTGGCAGTGTGTCTCATGTGCCTTGGGCTACATTTTCCTGAGATTGTGGTCTACTGATGTAGAACCACCTAAAGCTCTCGTCCAAGATGTCGGAACTTTTATGGTTCAGTCACTGCCTCGTAGTCAATCTTTGTTCGAGATACATACATTTTGACCAAATCGACCTGATCACCCCAGTAAGAACCATCAATAAGGTAAAAAGGGACCGGAGGTCTGAGGTAGTCAGAGTATAACTTAGGACCAAAGCTATGAATCAACTTTCTGCCCCCTTGAAGCTCTCTCCTTAACGTACCGAGTTGATGTAACCCAGACTACGTCAAAATGCTCATTAGTTTTTTTTCCGTTATTCACATAGATCCTCGGATCTTGGATAGTTCCCTCTATAAACTCAGTGAGGATCATGAAGATTGACATATCTCCTTGTCGGAAACCAACTGCACTGATATATTGGTACTGTAAAGCATCATTAAAAGTAATCCTGTTGAGATTGGTAAGGACTGACCCGTCGACCGGAAATGATTGAGTTGTACTCATGTGAATAATAATTATTGTTGACCCTTAATGATCTATCTGGACTGTTTGTTTGTCTCAAACGATGTTGTTGTGTTGATCGTCTTACCATTTTGATCTTGTAATACACTGTATGCTTAATTATGGTTTGTCTCTTGATAATATTGAGTGTTCTCTCTCTCATATGATTCTTGAATGATGCAATATAGTCTTTCTCAATGTCTTCCCAGTTATCAAATATTTTTCATTCTGTCTTGCGTGTTACCCAAAAGACATTATTCTTTCTCATTTATCATTCTCTCTCCAATAAAAAATTTAAACAACTCCTTGTGCTACCGAGCATAATTATTTGTTATCAACTGTACTTTGATCCTTTTTTAGTTGATTACTCGCGTTGAGATTATCGGATTGGACCTATGAGATGATTGTTAGTGTAAGTTCATTGTTGGTTACTTACGATCCCCCTTGCTTGGTCAAGAACCTCAATGGACGAGAGTGTGTTGTGTAATCTCTCATTTGACCC